ATATGCAAATAAAGTAAATAAGATTAGAAATATTTCATTTTTTATAATGAATAAAGTATATATTATTTATTTTAGGAAAGTGAATTAAAAATGAATTTAAATCGATCAAATTCTGTGTTAGAAGATAAGGAAAAATGTATTGACAATCAACAACATGAATTAGAAACATTTAATCATATTTTATCAAAATTACAAATTGACTATGAAAAATCGAAAACAGATTTATCATTAGCGCATGATAATATTGTCCAATATGAAACTATTCAAGATACAATAAAACAAACATTAAATGAGAAAATAAGTGAAGTAAGATTTTAGTCTTTAACATTCATTTTATATTGTATTCTATTGTTCATATTTGTTTTCAAATTTAAGATAGCAATATTATCCGAGCGTTTTCATGCAGTACAAAATGATTATTATACATATGAAAAAGATCATCGTTATACAAATGATGATTATTTTGATAAAGAACATCGTTTGACATCAGTTGAAAATGAATTGACAACAGTGATGAAAAATTTTGAATTATTACAAAATGAAAATAAAATTTTGAATGATAAAGTAGGAAAATATCGATATAATCTTGAACAAATTGAAACAGTTGAAGCAGAAAATAAAGAAAAGGTGATTTAACTAATTTATTCAAATAAGAGTAATTAAGTAACATATATATATGATTATTTTAGTTAATACAATCAATGGATGAAGGAAAAATATACAAACGAAAATTAGCGACATTGGGTGACTGTTTCAAAATACTTGTCAAAAAAGTAAGATTATTCGTATTTTTAGATAGTCTTCAGGACTGTCAACTAAACGGGAAAACAGATACAGAGAAAAAGGAGTCGTAAGGAAAACTTTTTTCCTTCAAAGAGAGATAAGACGAAAGCACATTATTTGACTGAAATCATTAAATTACAGACACATAAATACATTCTTTTTCTTTCTATTGAATATTTCTGCTATTCATTTTTCTTCTCGTATTCTCGATTTCAAAATGTAAAATTTGACAGAAATATCTATTGTTATACGGAAAATAATAAATGCTCAATTCAAAATATAAAGTTTTTACTAATATGTTTGTATTTTTCACT